ATGTCTTTTCTGATTTCATCTCTCTCCTTCTTCACTTCTTTCACTAAATTCACCTTAAAACCTGCACAAAAACACTGAAATCAAGCATAAACCTGTCCAGCTCTCTTATTTTTGAAAATATGAAAAAAAACATGATTTCAAGCTAGTTAATAAGTATAAAGGTTGCTTTTAGTATCAATTTTAAGCATGAAAATAACAGTTTTTCAACTGTTATCAGCAGACATACTAAGTTGACTTTGGACTTATGTCCTCTCACTACAATCGGACACCCAACGCAGACTAAACTGGTTGAAACTTGTCCAGATGTTGGAGTAGAGACAATTGGCCCACTCCCCATATCAAGTACAGAGAGACCAAGATTCTCCACACATAACAAGGACACAAACGAGTGCGTCGCACCCGAATCAAACAAAACAAGTAAATTTTCTTCAAACAAAGAACAAGTATCAAGTATCAAATTACCTGACTTCTTTGCTTCACTCCCAGACATGGCAAACACCCTGCCTGATGCCTGTGGCTTCCCACCGTCAAAAGTCTTCTGAGGCACCACACCAGACGCTTTTCTTTGAGGACAGTCACGAGATATGTGTCCATGCTTGTTGCACGTGAAACATGTCCTTACTTCCTTCTTGATATCCACGAGTTTGGGACAGTTCCTTCTATGATGATTTCAGCCACATTCAAAGCACTTCAGGATCCCCCGAATGAAAAAATGTGGTCTTTCATAAGGCTTCTTCTGATTCTTGTTCCCTGAGAAACTTCCTTTCTGAATCCTCATTACTCGTCCTCTCTCCTCTATTCGTTCTACCACTTTAGCTTGCTCCACAAGTTCAGGAAAATGATTGATTTTCAAAAGGATGAGGGCTTTCATCAAATCATGGCGCAAACCTCTCTCGAACTTTCTACACTTCCATTGCTCGCTCAAATTCTGGGTATAGAATCGGGCTAGATATTCAAACCTCTCCTTGTAAGCCTGTACTAACATATTGCCTTGTTGTAGAGTCCAGAATTCTGCCTCCCGCTCCATTTTAGCATTGGCAGGAAAGTACCTCTTTAAGAATCTGGTCTTGAAGTCCTCCCAACAAGCAACTTCTCCTCGAGCATCCATCTCAACTTGAAGGCCGCGCCACCAGTATTCTGCCTCCCCGGCCAGCATGTAAGTAGCAAAAACCAGTTTCTGCGCCTCCGAGCATTCAATTGCAGCAAAAATTTTCTCATTACAGCAAATCCAGTCGTCAGCTTCGTCTGGAGTAACCTTCCCATTAAACTTAATAGGGTTGTGACGCAAAAAGTCATTCATGCCCACACGAGGTCTGGCTGCTTGTTCAACCTGTTGCTCTTGTTGTCCTTGGAGTACCCTAGATATTTGTCGAAGAGCCTGTGCGAGTTCCGCAATGGCATTGAGTGGAGGAGGAGTTCTTGCCCGTCTTGACATCTTCTATTATTCAAAATTACAATTAAATGCGGAAACTATCATACCATTATCAGGAAAACACAACAAAGCTAGTCGAGCTCACTCCCCAAGGCCCCAAAAGATTTATTTTTTTATTTGAAACCAAAGCTCTGATACCAAAATTGTAACATCCCTTATAGGATATTAATAATAATAATAATAATCTTGTAGCATGAATCTTATGAAAGTTTTTTTTTTTTTTAAACAATACCTCATATAAACAAACCATACACACATCATAAGTTCATACATTACAACAAACCAAATCTTAATTGTTTCCTTGAAATAACAAAATCAAACGAACATAAATAAGAAAACATTATAAAAATCCCAACAAGTTTTATTTCCCGGCTCTCTCGAAGAGCTATTCCAATCCAGCTTTATCTGCAATACCATCTACTCCCGTACAAGTACGATCATCGTAGGTGGAAACTACAACCACAACATTTCAGGGTGAGTAACCAGAAATATCATATCATAAACCCATTACATATAAACTTTAACAATTTCCATGACTTAATATAAATCGACAAACATGACCTGGCAGACTAGTCTTTCATAAACTAATGTCGTTTTCTTGTAATTCGTCTTCATAACCTGTTCTCAATAACAGGCGACTCGAGTCGTCTTCCATCGCGACTTCATACCTATCTCCCCAACTCCTCAAGGACTAACGAGTAAAAACATCGATACTACGCATAACGATGCACTATACTCAACACGAGCCGAAGTCATTGGGCGAGACATTCACTTCCTCACGCAGAAGAAGGTGACACTCGAATCTCAGTCTCACGCGAGACTCGCATTTATTTTAGTATTAAAATGCTCATAAGACAGACGAAGTTACAAGCAAATAACATAGTGTATGTACCAACATCAAACAAAATAAACGTGCTCAATCACGGATTCATACATATTCTCAATAACATGTATAAATAAACTAACAATAGACCAAGAAATAACCAACAATTCTCAATAATTGCTTTAAAATACTACCAAAGAAAATTACGGATTCATACATATTCACCGAAGGCTATTTGGACGGACACTATTCGCCAAACGCTAATTAATCTTAACGGTCGGTTTGATGTATTAGTGATTATAGTGTTTCGGTCATAAGTTAACCTTCTTAGGTTTGAATCTTGAACGTTCGTTTTTTGGGTATAAGTGAGGTTCGATTTTAAGTTGCTTATTCTTAAGTTTTGGATCTTGAACGATCGGTTTTGGGGTATAAGTGATTAATGAGCGTTCGGTCGTTAGTTTCTACTGATCGATTATGTCTTGATTTTGCTACCGTTCGGTCAGGCTTTGATTTAATATTGTTCGATTAAGTTGTAATAATTCGGCCAGGATTCTAGACGATCATCTTTAGGTGTTCGGCAAAGTGACCTAGGGGTTCGACCAAGAATCAAAACGTTCGTCCTAATGGTGTCCGGATTAATAGTGTTTGATTTTGAGTGTTCGGTATTGATATATTATTAGTGAGTATAAACGTTCGTTCTTAACTTGGAATTCTTGGGTAGTAATCTTGCGCGTTCGGCTTTAAGTTGGTATTCTTAGGTTCGGATCTTGAACGTTCGGCCTTGGTTTAATTGTGATTGTGAGCGTTCGTTCTCGATGATGTTAATCCTCAGGAGGTACTCGTCAAAGGTATTGTTCGAACTAGGCTCAATCTTTGAGCGTTCGTCCGAATAGTGCTCAGTTTTAACGTTCGGCCTGATAGTGTTGAATCCAGTAAGGTGCTCGGTTTTAACGTTCATTTAACAGTGTTCGGTGAATAGTGCTCGCTCAAATAGTATTCTACAATAATGTTGGATCTCATAGCGTCCGTCGAGATAGAATAGTGTTCGACCAAATGACGTTCGGTGAATAGTGTTCGACCAAAAAACGTTCGGTGAATAGTGTTCGCTTAATTAGCGTTTGGCGAATAGTGTCTGTCCAAATAGCCTTCGGTGAATATGTATGAATCCGTAATTTTCTTTGGTAGTATTTTAAAGCAATTATTGAGTATTGTTGGTTATTTCTTGGTCTATTGTTAGTTTATTTATACATGTTATTGAGAATATGTATGAATCCGTGATTGAGCACGTTTATTTTGTTTGATGTTGGTACATACACTATGTTATTTGCTTGTAACTTCGTCTGTCTTATGAGCATTTTAATACTAAAATAAATGCGAGTCTCGCGTGAGACTGAGATTCGAGTGTCACCTTCTTCTGCGTGAGGAAGTGAATGTCTCACCCAATGACTTCGGCTCGTGTTGAGTATAGTGCATCGTTATGCGTAGTATCGATGTTTTTACTCGTTAGTCCTTGAGGAGTTGGGGAGATAGGTATGAAGTCGCGATGGAAGACGACTCGAGTCGCCTGTTATTGAGAACAGGTTATGAAGACGAATTACAAGAAAACGACATTAGTTTATGAAAGACTAGTCTGCCAGGTCATGTTTGTCGATTTATATTAAGTCATGGAAATTGTTAAAGTTTATATGTAATGGGTTTATGATATGATATTTCTGGTTACTCACCCTGAAATGTTGTGGTTGTAGTTTCCACCTACGATGATCGTACTTGTACGGGAGTAGATGGTATTGCAGATAAAGCTGGATTGGAATAGCTCTTCGAGAGAGCCGGGAAATAAAACTTGTTGGGATTTTTATAATGTTTTCTTATTTATGTTCGTTTGATTTTGTTATTTCAAGGAAACAATTAAGATTTGGTTTGTTGTAATGTATGAACTTATGATGTGTGTATGGTTTGTTTATATGAGGTATTGTTT